AGTTAGAAAGTGTAGCATAGGCTTCTCGCACAATGTTCTTAATGTGGTCCTCAGGTGAGGTTTTTTTTTTTTTTTTTTTTTTTTTCCATGTCAACTATTTCCATTTCAAAACACAAATAGTAATGAAAACATTAAAAAACATTAAAATATAGCCAAATTAAAAGAAAAAAGCCACCCCTAGATCAGTTTAATGTGGTCCTCAGGTGAGGTTTTTTTTTTTTTTTTTTTTAGAACCACCCCTAGATCTTTATCAGACATCTTTAAAGATTTCTCACGTAATTTATAGGTTGTGTGGGGTCTATGTTCTCGTATTCCACATTCCATTGCATAGCATTTATTCACGTTAAATTCCATTTGCCAAGTGGTGCTCCATATACTTTTGTCCAGGTCTTAGGGCATGACAATCATCAAAGTTTATCTTCCCTATTATCTTGGCATCATCAGCAAACATGTTCATATAATTCTGTATTCCTTCTGGTAGAGCATTTATATAGACAGCGATCATTACCGGTGCAAGATCCTGTGGTACTCCACTTGACATATCTTGCCTGTGTGTGCATGTTAGTGTCAGTGTTGTCCAGTCCCCGTTCACCTATCAGTATTCCCTCTCTTCCTCCTATCCTCTAGGGTTGTGAGTGTTTCAACAGCCTCTCCTCGTGTCTTAACTCTCCCAGCTCTGGCACCTCTAATGTTGGTGATGCGTATTCTAATATTAGTCGAACAAATGGTGTGCAGATTGCTTTGAAAGGGGCCCGATTTGGATTCCTAAGTGATCTTATATTTGCCAGTGTTCCACATGCTGCCGATGTTATCTTGTGTGTGTGCTTCCAATGTGAGTTAGGGAATTACATCGACTCCCTGATCCTTCTCTTTCTGATTCCTGTAGATGCCTTCTGATCTCTTTCCCATCCTCATTACCTCACATTTGTTGGGATTGAACATTTGTCAGACCACTCCTAGGGTTTGTCACGGTCTTCCTGCAACTTTCTGCAGTCCTCATCTGTTTTCACTCTCATCAGCTTTGCATCATCAGCAAACATTGACATGTTTGAGCTCGCTCCCTCGAAGGTCATTCACATATATTGGGAACAGCAGTGGTCCCAGAACAGAGCCATGTGGACCCCCGCTTGTTACATTCCTGCAGCTCGAAACCACCTCTGTGTGTGACCGCTTTCTGTCCTTCAGGTACTCCCTTACCCAGTTCAGTGTTTTCCCAGTTATCCCAGCCTGGTTCTCCATCTTGTATAGCAGTCTTTCATGGGGGAATAGTGTTGAATGCCTTTCGACAGCCTTGAAAAAGTGTCTGGTTTGTCAGACATGATTTTCCCATTTCTAAATCTATGCTGGTTTTTTGTCACAAAGTCGGTCCTCTTGAAATGCTCCGCCATTCTTGACCTGAATGCTCTCCAGCAATTTACTTGTCAGTGACACTATAGTTTAGTGCCTCCTTTCTATCCCCTATTTTGAATGTTGGGACTCGGTTTGCCTTTTTCCAGTGATCTGGGAGACTTCCTATCTCAAGAGTTTTATTACAAATTTAAGACAACAGGTGGTAGAGTAGTTCTGCAGCCTCCCTCAGCAGCCTCAGTGAGATTAGGCCTGGCTCATTGAGTTTGTCACATTTTAAACTATAGGATTTTGTTCACCTCTTCCACCGTGACTATCTAGTATTTCCCTCCAATATTTCATCTTGCAACCTTTGTCGTACGCTGGTTCTAATGTAAAGACCTGAAATATTGAGTTCTTTGCATACCTCCTTATTCTCTGAGAGCTTCCCCTTGTTTCCTCAATCTGAGTATAGTCTGTCATTTTTCTCATTATATGGCTATAAAATAGCTCTGGTTGTTCCTTAGCTATTGCAGCAATGTCACTTTAAAAATCTCATGGCTTCTCTCCTAATTTGTTTGTACTGTATTCAGTTGTTCTTTTTAACGCCTCCCAATTGTTTTCGGTTCCCATTTTACTTTTTAAGATTCCCTACATTGTCTATTGAACCTAGGCTTAATTTTTTCATCCACCACTTGAGTGGTATGAACTACTCCGATACATCTGCACATTTGTGCAATAAATTCCACCTTTTTCTGTCGTCCCATCTATTTCTGTTCCATTGTATTTCTTGCAGTAAGTCCCTCATGTGGTTGTAGTTGCCACATTTATAATCTTCATCAAAGGGTTCCTTTGTGTAACCAGTTCCTTCAGCTCCACTCTGTATTTAAGGATGACACTGCAGTGGTCGCTAGCTCCTAGAGGCATCTCGTGCTCTGGCTTTTCAACTTGTGCTTCATTTTGGGAAACCGGCAAGTTTAGTGTAGCTGGTAGATAGTCTCCTCCTCACTCTTGTTGGTTCTGTGACATGTTGCTTTAAGTGTGACATGTTGCTTTAAGAAGTTTGTCTGCCATAGTTGTTTGGTCAGTTTGCCTGGCCATGTCTACCAGTTTTGCTCGCCATGTCTCATCATTCCTATGGGAATCCTTATTTATCCAGGCTGTTCTCATGAGATTGAAGTCCCCAAGTATTAAGATTTTAGCTCTTGTTTCCCCGAGTGATTTTTGTTGTTGTGCTATTGTAAAGCTAGTCAGAAATTTTAAACAGGGTCAGGTCTCTCCCTGTTCATAAGGCTTGTCCTAATGCATGGATCTTTAAAGCTGTATTTTGTGATTTCTTAAAACCGTTCATTACCAGAGGTTAAATGGTTCGTTAAGTGTTGGCTTGCTAGAGAAGCATGGTTCAACTTGTGTGACTTGCTTTTGTGCTTCAGACATAATTGCTATAAATTTTCCATAATTTATGTACTGTACTATTCAAATGTATTAATTGTATTACAGTATTTGTCCACAATGATTTGTTCCCGTAGTTATTTGTAGAAATGAAAATAATGTAAAGTGTTCCCTGTGAGATAACTCTGCTTGCTCTGTTTTGCCCATTTATGAAGATTCTTTAAAAGTTTTTAATTAGAGGAGTCTTAGCCATTTTGTGAAAGGTGACGGCACACTGTCTTCATTGCTAAAAAAAAAAAAAATTTTGCCAAATGCATCTGAAGTTTCTATATCTTGTATCATTTGTCCAGAACTTTAATGTGTTCCCTTGGTAAACCTACTTGCTAAATTTTTAAGGCCTTTAACTGCTTAAACATCTATTAGTTTGTTACCATACTTTTATTTTATAAAGACAAGTAAAATGTCTTTAGGTAATAAAAAAATAAAATCCTCCAACAGAATTAAGTACAAATTCATCATAGATGGAGAGGGTTTTGAGTTCTATTACCTGAGCCCGGCTCGACTTGTGATAACATGATCAATCGATTTCCATTCGAGTTTAAAAGATTTTATGCACTACTGTTGGGGTTGGCTCACTGGTGGCTTTGGTAAAGAATCCTAATGTGTGCACATTTTCTGATTCACTGAACATAAAATTTAGCCCATGCAGAAATTTTGTATAGTGAGGGGTCAATTGAGTGAGGGGCTCCACTACATCTGGCCAATTTACCTACCTGGATTAATATTTTGCGAGGATGGCATGGAGACCGATGTGTTCTGTTTGGTTTGTGTAGATGTCCAACTGGTTAATTCATTCATATTCTACTCCAATAGAATTAAGGTACAAATGAATAATAAGGATTGGTTTTCAGGTAGTCATGCCAATCATTGGACACTATTATTGAAACTGGTTATAACATAAAAACCCAGCCACCGGAGAGTAGCCTCTAAATTATAGCCATCTCGACAAGCATGATAGTCAAAACACTATAAAACAAGTTTAATCCAAATGGATAGAAATGGAGAAATATTGGTACTGTATGGCTTACGAATAGGAGGATCCTGTGTAACAAATCTTAGTTTCTATGATAAAGCCACAGATTCAACAGGAAAAAGCTGGTTTGGTTGACTTTATCTAGACCTATTAAAAAAAAAAAAAAAAAAAAAAAAAAAAAAAAAATGGGTTTTTGATGAAGTCGCACGCAAGAGGTTCTGGAAATTGGAAAAAGCTGGAGCGGTAATGAGCACAAGACTTTTTTTTTTTTTTAGCTGCTAGAAAAAAGGCCAATAATCAAGGAGAAATGGTTTCAGATTGGAGAAATGTTATTAGCCAGCCCATCCTCCTAAGGTTTCCCAGCGTCAAGAAAAGTCAAATCTCCTGCCCTTGTCATGTCCTTCAAGATGACCTAACACAATAAGTGTATGGAACACTTGGCAAATTGAATTCATTGTGAACAATGGCATGATATAGAATGTGGAATAGGAGGAAATAGGCTACTTAGAACCTACAAATTATGTAGGAAGGTATTGAAGAACTCTGACGAAGATATGTAAGGGTAGTTTTGGACGGTTAGATAATTTCATATTTAATGTTTTAGAAAAGGTTGCACGATACTTGTACTGTATAAACTTTCATAACTCGAGAGTGGCCTGGGATGTTAATGTGGCAGAGGGGAAAACTGAAAAGAGGTCAAGGTTGTGGTGTTTCAATATGTAGCCAGGGGACAACCAGTCTGTTCCACACATTTTCTCTTTGTATTTCTTCATACTTTCAATCTACAGTATTTAGATCCCTGACAACGAAGCATGTCGTCTGCTTATCTTGTAGAGTATTTTTTTTTCTCTAGCGATGAAAGTCCCAGGTATTGATATATGAGCATGTTTCTGGTTAATATAGCATAGGGCTTCATTCCCTCCCCAGTACTTTTGTTTACTCAGTATTGCTGTGCTGTATGTTAATGGGTCCTCCTCATTTTTCTACCTGTTGCCCTGTTCTTGGGAGCATGCAAACTGAAAAGTTATGCCTTTAGCTTTTGTGATGTTTTACTCATATCTTAGATACTCGTTTAGGTGGATAAATTTTGTTATTTTTAGTTTGTGTGCATTCTGTATTAAATGGTCAAATCATGGTATAGTACAATATTTGGTTGTTTTCTCGAGTTATTGAATAAGTCAATCAGGATTAAAAAATATTGTATCGGAGGCATAATTAAAACATCAAAAACTGGTTTGGCTTATAACAGATATGAGGTAGATGACTTCATAGTATCGCCTCCTTCCACTGAAGATGGGGGCTTCTTGCATCTCCGTTATGGACGAAACCCAAGACCACGGCTGCACCAACCCAGCCAAGACAGCACCAACCAGGAAATGTCCATGACTGTTGAGGTGTGTGTATTGGCTAGGGAAGCAGTGTTCGGGTTTAGGGGGCTCATAAATGTAAGGCTTTAACTTCTCTTTCTTTGTTTTTCTTGCAGTATTTTGCATGTAAGAGTTGATAACCTCTTTAGGCTCTTGTCATTTCCTGGACTGTGTTTATCTGCGTGTTGTAATGTAGTGAAGCTTTGTGTGAAAGGGTGGGTGTGCATTTTGCATGTTTAGTATTTTTCTTTTAGGGCATTAACTCTTAATTTTCCCTGCTCTCGTAGTTTGTGTTGAGTGCTGTGCAAGCTGGTCTCTTTAGTGCAAAGACTTCAGCAGGTAAAGTCCTACAGTTGACCATTGATAAATTTTGTCCTGTTTACCATGTGGCTGGTTTATAAGAATTGCTTGGTATAGTAACTGCTCTCAGAAAAATGAAGGCAGGTTTGTGTGGCTTTCATGTTGCAAGAATATATGGGGAGGGGGGTGGGAAGGAAAAAAAAGCTTGAAGTGGTAAGTTTTTTAAGCTAGGTAGGTTTGAAGAGAAGTTTGAGGCAAGCCTGAACCTAGAATAAAGGGTGAAATTTAATCATAATTATTGAACGAAAATGAGTGAGGTAGCAGTACTGTGTAGCTGTTAATGGTGGAATGGTGCAATTTATTACTTCTAATGTTGCTTTTTAATATGCTTGTGTGTGAAATTAGTGTGAAGGTGGTAGTCATCACGTATTGTTTAGTAATAAGAATGACAGCAGAAGTGCGGTAGTTTAACACTTGGGCGGTGCAGCTAATAATTGACACTTTCGCTACCCCGGTGGTCGACCTTGACGTGTGCGGCGGGTTGCCCAAGTGGTGCGCGTGAACTCGCCAGTACTCTATTTTATTTTATTTATTTATTTATTTATTTATTTATTTATTTTTATTTATTTATTTATTTATTTATTTATTTATTTATTTATTTTTAATCTTTCCGACCTCAATTTTTGTGCTATGTCATTCAATTTAATATCAAATTGTTCGCAATAAAGGGATATCTCCATACAGGAACATGCAAGTCTCCCTTTCCTATACTTTTTGACCCGCCGCGCACTGCAAGTTAGGCCGAGAGCTCTCCACCTCCCACAAATGTTTATACTTTCTTTAGCTTTCTGACCTCGATTTTCATGCTATGTTGTTCATTTTGGTAACAAATTGTTCGCAATAGCTAAAGTTCACCCACTAAAGGAATATGTGCATACAAGAACATGTCTAACTTTTTTCTATACTTTCGACGAAAAATTGATTACTTTCCCCTCATACGTGTTTCTTTCAATGCTTTCATCGTGGATTGGCTTTGTTTTTATCAGTATCCACCTGGAAGTCAATTTGCAGTGTTTATAAAGCCGGTAACAACAAATACCCGAGATAAAATAACCGGAATGGGGAAACTTTTCTACTCGAAGGGAGGCCGCGGCTGTCACGAGCGAGGTCTCGAACAGTGAGCCTCCAGTGTGGGTGGGTGCCCACACGGTGGGATCATGCCACGTGGGGTATACGGAGAATGAGAAGACATTGGCGCACATTTTAAGAGTCCCATGGTATTCGGACAATAAAAAATTTCTATTTTTTTTTTTTTTTTTTTTTTTTTTTATAATTAATGCCGCCGTTTGCATCATGAGGCATACTCCATTATTTTGGTTTTATGATGTCGACAACATCATCAGGCAGTGAAAGTGTTAATATTAATAGCCAACACCACCACATTTGTGTGCAAGAATTTTTTTTTTCCCCCTTCTAAGATTGTTTAAATGTGTTCCCTGATCATGTGGAATAAAAAATCGTAGGCGACGTATTTTGGCAATGGTAGGTTGAAGAAGTCTGGCAAGATACAGGCACAGAAAAAGTACATGTCTGGGGTCGGTGTCCGTGTGTTTCAATGTCTGATTTTTTTTTCTCCAGTAATATTTTTCAATAGTGTGTAGTGTCATTTATACTAAAATGTGTGAACCATTACTATACTCAATTAGTATGGTGTGCTGGTGTGCATTGCTATACTCAAAAAGTAGACAGTAGAAATTATTAGTGATTCAATTATGTTCATAAAACAATAACAGAATATTTTTTGGGGGAGCCCTGTTGGCTCCCTGAAGCTATCTGAACTGTTGTGTGCTATATTAGTTTGGTGTCATCAGTCACATGGGCTTCATCGGCCTACTGGTGACCATGAGCCAGAACTTGGGCCTTCTCAGAGGTGCAAGAAGTAATGGCGTATAAGCACTTTACATGTAAAGGACGTTATATTCTGCCATCAACCAGGGCATTTACCCAGAAAGATAGGCAAAACAAAACAAACAACTAGCCTGGAAATTGCTACTTACAGCCAGAAAGCCAAGAAACTCATGCTAAAAGAAAGTAGAAATTGGAAAATGTTTTCATTTACTAGTACTTCTGCTCATTAGCGTAACCCCAGAGCCAGCTCGGGCAAGCCGACCACCACCATCTCGGTTCTCTGCTCATGTGTTTGGCGGTCACTGGTCACCTCTGGCCTCGCTTTCCTGTTCTGGATTTTGCCCTGTGTGGCTGTACCAGCTGTGTGGTGTGGTGGCCAGGTGTTTGCTGTACTTGGAGCTGCATACGCCCTGGGTATCCTTCCCTGGGTACTCCATAAGTACTACCCTTGCGTGCCAGGGTTACTTTCCCTGGATATTCAGGACTTGCTCCCGGTTCAGGACTTCATTGTTTGACGTTGTCTTCGCCCTTGGGGTCTAGGGCTTTGTCTTGCCCCCTGGCAGGGGAGTGTTTTTGGACGAGGGGGGGGGGGGGCGCACTGTGGCTGGCGCAGTCTGCTACCTGTGAGACGGCTAACATTTCTCTCCGGCTGCTAGTTTGCTTGCGGTGTCGTTCATAAGCATGTTTCGGTGCTTGTTCTATTTTTTTTATTTTTGGGAATTTTCCCCTCTGAATGGAGGTCTGCTTATTAGGCCAACCTAGTATTGTGGTGGCTTTCCCCCTCCATTGCCCCTGAGGGGCAATGGAGGAGCTGCCTGCTGCTGCCCCATTACCTCTGCTACTGGTAGTCAGTTTGCCTGTTTACAAGCTGGGAGTCTGCCAGCTTAGCTGGCCTCAGTGTCTGGGCTACCTGTAGGGCTAACATACCCTGTAAGCCCTGGAAAACCACAGTGGGCTCGGTTGGTAACATGGATCCATCAGTCCACTCGCACCTTGTGCAATGTTGACGGTTGTTCGTTGCCCCTGCCTCGGGGAGACGATCACCCCCTTCTGCCTTGCTGCCCGCTGGGTCGGTGACACCTATGACCAGGAGTCTTGCAGGACTTGTTCCCCGCTTGTGTTTCAGTTTACCCCTGCCTCGTCTGTGGATGAGATGATTTAGGTGGCATTACAAGCTCGCCTCTCCTTGCAATGCACCTGGTTGGTTACCTGGTTGGACGCCCTGGAGCTGCCCCATTTGGATTTTAGGGCCCGGGAATTGGGAGAGTTGGTTGTTTCGACTTCGGTTCTGTCAGCGCCCCTGTTTCCTTCCCAGGTTTGCGTGTTCACCCTGCTCCTCCCTCCCTGCTTTTGGCTCCAAACCATCTAGATGTCGCAGATCTTGCTCGCTCAAGCATGGTGCGTCCCAGGAGCGTCGCGCCGTGTGCGACGCTCCCGGGGACGCACCACTCAGTAGGTCTGTCTGTCTGCACAATTATTGGATAATTAGTAGTTCTGGACAGTGTGAAGCTCTTAAACAGGTGACATGACACAAAGGGGCGGCACACGCTGGACACCATGTTAGCACCCATTTACGTTTCTGTTGCCTCTTGTGTGGTTTTACCAACCCGTTCTCGTACTTAGTCAATATTGACTAAGAAAGTGCGAGAATGGGTTGGGTTTTACATAATGCACTCGTGCTGGCCTGCTGTATGCTTTCCAGTTGGTGGTAAATTCCTTATTGCATGTACCTGAAAGCCTTCCCTGTAAGCCAGCCTTGGTGTGGGAGCATGGTGCAATAATGGGTTCACAATGGGCTTTTGTATACCAGGAAGTGGTTTGCCAAACTTTTCTAGTAGCTGTCACTACAATAAAACTGAACGCACAGATTTGGCTTAGTACCCGTTTTGACAAGATACACATTGTAACATCAAGAAGGTGGAAAAACATCACCTTGGTCCACTTCAATGTTTTTCACACACTCGACAGCAACCACCATCATGTTACATTTATCAATCAATCGCATGCTTATGTTATAGTCCATAACACAATAATTTACATATGTTGTTTCATGGTTTTGTTCACCTTGCCACTGTTCAGCATTGTACCAGTGTGAATGGTGGTCAACATGTTCACTTCACTCCTGTCGTTCCACTGCACTGGAAAGCATTTCAGCAGATTTTCTTAGCTGCCAATCGCCTACCTCAATAGCATGGTCAAACACAGGATTTCCCTTTGTTTTGCCTTTAATGTGCCCCACACTCCAGTTCTATTATCAAACAAGAACGTAGTTAGCAAAGGACTTGTATAATAGTTGTGTATAGTATGTGGCCCTTGTTTAGCCATGTGCCATGGTGCCAGCAATGTCCTCGCCACACTACCTTAGAAACCATGTTAGTCATTAGCAGGAATGCCTACATTGATAGCATTGTGTTACACATTAACATGTGTAACACAATTCCTGTTTCACAGAGTACAAAGAATTTCAGTCAATCTGTGGCGTTTGGAGGGCATATGCTGCTTTAAGGTAATACATCCTTGAAAACCACAAGGGATTCATCAATCGCCAGCTTCTGAGCTGGTACGTAGAAATCTCTGAACTTTCCAACAAGTTCATTCAGAATGTGCCATGACCTCCAAAGCCTATCATTCTCTGTCTAGTCTTCATCACTTGCAAAATGAAGACTCCTGAGGAGTATCAGAAACCTGTCATGAGACACATTTACCGAACAATGGTGTTGGAACATAATGGTCTTTGTTCCAATAATAGCTGAGTACGTTCTTGACACACTGTTTCATACAGTGCCAAAAACATATTTTACTTGCTGATACTTAATAAGGAGCCGGTCGGCCGAGCGGACAGCACGCTGGACTTGTGATCCTGTGGTCCTGGGTTCGATCTCGGGCGCCGGCGAGAAACAATGGGCAGAGTTTTTCACCCTATGCCCCTGTTACCTAACAGTAAAATAGGTACCTGGGTGTTAGTCAGCTGTCACGGGCTGCTTCCTGGGGGTGGAGGCCTGGTCAAGGACCGCGGGGACACTAAAAAGCCCCGAAATCATCTCTAGATAACCTCAAGATAACCTTCTCGCCTCCATTGAGATGAATCGTGTACTTGTTCATCCTGAACAGTATGTTCCATGAGCGGCTCATCAAAATAAGCAGTAAAGAATTCCACTTCACTTATATCGTCACCTGTGTCAGGGGAAAAGTTTGTAATTCCAACATCTGCATTGTCAAAGGTGGGAGTTTCTGGAACTAAATCTTTACCATTCCAGACAAATAAACAAAGACGCAAGTTGCGTCTTGTGAGACGCAACATCAGGACCACAGTGAGGAATCCTTGGACCAAGAGCTGAAGTTGGTTTATGTGCAGTATGGGTGGAAACCAACAATGAAGGAAATTTACTTGAATGAGGGTTCAATGACAATGAACAATGGACAATGAGGGTTCCTCATTGTCTCCATGTGGTGCCACACTGCGTTGGCTGGGTGAAATGCTTCTGACCCAACAAAACATCGCTTGGTAACATCATTGGCACTAGCGACAGGCATGGTAACATGATTATCAGTCTACCTCGCTAAAACCAGAAAATGAGTTACCTTCAACAGACTCGTCAACCAAAACATCATGATCTGGCAAAGTAACACGTGAAATGTGTGGTCGGGTGCGAATTGGTGAGTGAGAGTGGAGTGGCGTAAATGAGGGCTTGTGCCTGACCCTGGTGGCACCCACATGTTCACTTAGTGTCAGTCGTATCTACGTCTGAGGGCTGAGTGCAGTCTTCATCTATGTCCGAGTCGCCAATATCAGGTTTCTCACCCTCTTGGAACAATTCCTGATAAATTACATCCTTAGACAAAGATTGGGCTAGGCATTGAGCCCGGTTGGCCGCTGGTATGTGGTGCGCTTGCCGTGATGTCTGTCGGGGAAACTGAGGCCTCCACACAATGATGGCCTACGCTGGATTTTTTTTCCCAAGATGACGTCTGTCTACCATCAGCGCTGGCTGCTGTATGGGTGCTCCTTTTACAGCACAGGACTTTTAAATCTTGCACAGCACCCTCAATTGTATATATATACAATGTATGCAGTTTAAAAGTTAACCCTCCCAAATTGCAAGAAAATATTGGAGCACGCACACATACGGATCCTCTCTGTGAGAGTGGTAGATAAAGGTGGAGCTAACGGTTCCATTAGTCTCATTTTTATTTGCTTTTGCCTTCCTGTTGTCTTGTCTCTACATTTCTGGTGGCAATTTTATGTTCATGATCTTTTATCCTTTCCCCCCCCCCCCCCCCCCCTCTCCCCTCTGAGATAGGCTTTTAATAGCTCGCAAGAGCCTGGAGAGATTTGATGGTTAGCAAGAGGAAGCCACCAAGGAATCCTCTAGAGGCTTTTCATACAATTTGATAATTTATACCTCGTAAAATCATTTTGCCTAAATAAGCATGCACATGTATTTTATCACTTGCTATAAGAGAAACCCAGGAAATTTTAGTAGTAAACAGAAGGGCAAATTTAAGGGAAGTTCATCTCTTGTCTGGAATGAATAGTTTCCTGTACTGTACTTTTATTTTTTGCATACATATATTATTGCAGAAGTTTGTTGGGTATCATTGATAAATATATCTTGGCTTCCCAAAATTTAAATTTATTTCTACATTTACCAAATTTACAATTTTTTCTAGCATATTTTTTTAATTAAAATTGATAAAGTTTTGTAGCACCTGTTGTTCAGTGTGTGCAGCTTGAAAGTCATCAAAATTGTATGAAACTGAGGTATCCTGAATTTTAGAATATAGATAATTGGAATTTTTCTTAACACTACAGTTTTACTTATTATTTAAACTTTGTATTTACTGTATGTAGTTACTAATTACTTTCATTAAATTAAGAATTTCAATCTCTCATTCCCCACCCTCCTCCCCCAGTGACTAGTTTGAGCACGGTTCTGTAATGGCTTCCCACCATTTTTTTAAATATTATTGTAAAGCTGTACAAATTGCATTTTAACTAATCAAATTATCTGGGCAAATTAGCCACAGTTGTTATACGTCACATAAGAAATTGTCTTCATTTCTAGGTCAGGGATGGCAGCACTGTAATAACAACGGTGTGCTCCTCTGAACACTTGGACAGCACCAGCCCTGAGGCCGCTCTCATCATCAGCCCGGGTGGCCTCTCTACCAACACTGCGGCGGTTTCGGCGTCAAAAGTTGCAGCGGAAAATTATGATGTTCAACCACTTTTTGTTTTGAACTTTGGAGGTTAGCACTCTTGTGTGTGTTCTTGTAGCAAGGTTGCAGTAATGGCTCTTGGCAGACCTGCATTGTCAAACCAGGGACTCTCTTTAGTTTTAATGTTATTAGTGGATGTTGTATCTTAAATGTTGACCAATTCTAATAGTGTTATATGGAGAGGTACACAAGTACAAACTTTTATATTTGTCTAAAATGGGATAATGTTACTTAATGTTTTATTGGCTATTTTAAACTTATTTGAAAGGTTGGGGTTTTGGTTGCCATGTTAACTTTGATGCAAGCTTTTAAGAATAAGTACTGTATTTGTATTTGTGCAGTTTGGTATATGAGGAATGTGTGTATTAGATTTAGATTCTGCCTTACATTCTTGTATAATGGCATCTCTTAACATTCAACTCTTTGACACAGGACATGCAGTGAAATCTTCGTGTAAGGAAATAATGCTTAATCGTGACAATTGGACAGTCAAAATACATAGTGTCAGTACAGAGAAACTGTTGCCACCAGCCTTCCCAAAATAGGGAATCAAATTTAATTGAAAATAGGTTCAGATTAACCAATTCATGGGTAGATGTGGATTGGCAAGTCTTGTAAACATTGAAATTTTAAATATGAATAACTGTGCTACTGCTGCCAGCCAGCCAGTGAACATGAGTGGAAACACAGGCTACTCAACAAACCAAGCGACCAGTCGCCTAAGTTATAAAGTTATAAGCAATACAATTTAGATAAATTGGCAGTGTGAATCTTGCCTAAAAATACTCGATACATGCATAAATATAATGGTATTTATTCAGCAACATAGTTTGCTGTATATGCATAAAAAGCTAAAATTCACTGTGGGGAAAATATCATAATCTGTTGTCTACCCATACCTTACTATGCTATTTTGAATAAACTGTGCAGTTAACAAATGGCATTTGGAGGTCTGTTAATGGCCTTGCTTCAGTGAAGGGTATGTAGAGAAATCAGAGATACATAATAATTTACACATGGAAAATATTAAAGGAGCTGGTCCCAAACCTGCACACAATAACACTACCTGAGATCAGGAGGCATGGCAGGATTTGCAGAATTCCTGCATTGCAAATCAGAGGTGAAGTGGGTACAGTACTCTTGAGAACTTCTGTCTATTATCATCAGAGGCTCGAGACTGTTCAACACGCTTCCACTACATATAAGGGACATAACTGGCTGACCCCTAAAGTGTTCAAGAGAGGGGCTCCATAACGCGCCGGTTCCGTCAGGTTGCCATTTCCTTATTAGTATGTCGTGCTTCATGTAATAATGTATCGGGGACTCTGGACAAGAGTTTCCCCCTTTTTGCCTCTTTGATCTGTTCCTCAAATTCAACTATTTTGGCATTAGTCAGGTCCACTCGGTTTATGCTCCATCTTTCTGGCAGGGCCATCTTTCCCTCTGACTTCGCCACGATCTCATCCTCTCGACCTCGGGATAGCATCAAAATAAGCGCCTTTAGAATGCGCACAATTTGATACCAAATGAAAGATGATATCCGGACATCAAGTTTCATGTTAAACTTGATGTCCGAACACTTGTATAGGCTTTAAATAAATATATATATGTATATAAATAGGCTTTTGGTCAAAATGTTAAAATATTTGTTAAAATTTTATTATGCTATTATGTTGGGACTAGTTTTAAAATGCGCGCCTTTACGTCCCGAACAATTTGATACCAAAATGAAAGATGTAACACAAATTTGTCGGAACACTGGAAAGATATAATTTTGTGATGATGAGCTTCCAGAATTAAAATATTTGTTAAAATTCCAGTTATTGCTCTATTATTATGGGACTAGTTTTAAAATACGCGCCTTTTTATTGTGAACAATTTGATACCAAAATGAAAGACGTAACACGAAAATTGATGTTATCAAACTCAACGAGTATACACATTAGGTTGCAGTGTACAAATTGGTTCTCGTTCACGGGTAACTTTAGGCTTTTCTGCGGGGAGGCACTCCAAACTTTTGTACATTATATTCATACACATCTGTAGGGAATTTAATTGCGAACACAATACCAAAACGAGCAACGTAGCATGAGAATTAAGGTGAGAAAGCTGAAACGAGTATACACATTTAGGTGTTTAGGTGTTAGCGGGGCCTCGTAGCCTGGTGGATAGCGCGCAGGACTCGTAATTCTGTGGCACGGGTTCGATTCCCGCACGAGGCAGAAACAAACAGGCAAAGTTTCTTTCACCCTAAGTGCCCCTGTTACCTAGCGGTAAATAGGTACCTGGGAGTTAGTCAGCTGTCACGGGCTGCTTCCTGGGGTGTGTGTGGTGTGGGGGGGGGGGGAATAGTTAGTAAACAGTTGATTGACAGTTGAGAGGCGGGCCGAAAGGGCAAAGCTCAACCCCCGCAAAACACAACTAGTAAACACATTTAGGTGTCGCCGCACGCTCGCCCGCACGTTCGGTGCATAACCCCTTAAGTTGACCGCGTGCCTGTCCGGTGACCGATAGTGTTAATCTACATATGGCAGTATACTTGGCTATTACTGCAAAATATGGTGCTCATTGCACGCCAATCGAATATGGTGCTCTGCTAAGTCGCCCACACAACTCTTTGACTGCCACTACTCAGCTCCTCTCAATCTTGAGTTGCGTGAAAAAAAAGGTCACAGGACAGGTACCAATCGGGTACACATGCCCAACAAATCCTCTTGTAGGATTCCTCAGGGCATGACCACCCAACTGGCTTCCGGTCGCTCCTACTCGTTGCCACTATTCGAGATACGTCACCAATCGCCTCATGAATTCTTCGTCAATCAGCTTCCTCATGAATTCTTCTTCACAAGATACGCATATCTTCTGGAGTGACGGTGTGCGTCCTTCTCTTTATCCTTCGTCATGACAAGTGATGTCCTTAAACCTTTGCACATGACATGCTCCCGTCTTCATTTTTACACATGACACATTGCATACAGTCGACATCTCACTTCCAAGCTTTATCAGAGATGCTCAACAATGACTTATCTCTGTGGTCACATCTGATGATGGTTACTTGCACTATTTAATTTCCCTGACTCCTCACTATGGCCAGGTGGGGAACAACTCTCACTGTGGGGGACAGACCTACACCATGAGGCTACATGGGGTAGGGGTGGGGGGGTTATAACACTGCCCACCCACCCAACCTCCATCCAACCTGCCTTAGCCTGCCCACCCACCCACCCTCTATCCTCCCATCCACCCTCTATCCTCCCATCCAACCTGGCTGCCTAAACCCTCCCATCCCTCCCTCCCTCCCTCCCTACCCACCCACCCACCTTGGGCAGGCAGAATCCTTGGTGAATCGGATACCTTTTAATATCGTTGGCCTTATGCGCTTTTGTTCTCGAATTGGCATCCTTAGTGATATTTAGTGCTTTTTGAATATCTCGCACATTTCATGGTGCTACATAGCCTTCCCGGCTTGATGCCTTCTTTAAATAATTACTATTATCCATTGTGTAGATCTTTATTCTTTTAGGACTTTATTCACTAAATCATTATTTTTTGCAGAGACCGAGTCTGTTGCTACAGAAGGAGAAAGCTTAAAAGCTGCTGAATCGACGCAAACTCTGCATCCTGTAAAAGAAGGTTTTGCATCAATTTATTCTAATTCAGTTAATGGCAGTTGTAATGAAATTTTGATAACTGGCCCTTCTCCATCTGAAAAGTGCTCTCCCACAAGCAAAACAGACGACAAAAAATTAGGGCTTCTAGAGAAGGTTACTCTTATTCCATCTAATCGGGGAGGCTCTCATCCTACCCATCTGGCCACACCAAGTTCAAGTCCCCTGGCATCTCCTAAAGCATCACCAAAGCCTCGCCGTTCAGTAATGGGGGTAGTAATGGAAGGCTCAAACAAAAGCTCTGTTCACAGCTATTTTTGCACAAAACCTTTCCAAGGCCATCAAGAAGGTTCAAACACAACACACAGTATCTCTGAAGAAGTAAGAGAAATTTCGTTATCATCGTTAAGGACCCAACAGCTTGAAGATGCAACAAAGACCTCTCAATCATTTGATTCTAATTCAAAAGCAATTGCAGTTAAACGTCGACAAAGGCCAAAACCTTCAGCTTTGAGAGAAATGAACTTTTGGGCTCCTACATCTATGTAATATAAAGGTTTGACATATAAGTGTAATGTGTTGGTGACATGCTATACATTTTAAATGGTTGTTTTTGAATTATTAATGCAGATGTTAACAAAATATTTAGAAAAGTTATATAATTTATTATTAAAATGGTACATATTGATAAACGGGTCTAAAAATAGATTTTTGAAGGTGTAGATCCTGTCCAACAAAACCGTCATGGTTTTAGAGGTTCTTGTAAAGTTTGTATGCAGAAAAGTAGTCAGTTCTGAAATCATGGTGCAAAAATTAATATTTTGAGACGAATAATTTTAGTAAATGTACACACATTATCAAGTGTACCTATTAATACAAATATGGCTGTATTTCTTTCTAGGAATTCGAGAGTTATTTATTCATACAAACATTGTAATTGTAAAATTACTGAAGTGTAGTAAACAAGATAATCCATTTTCTCTTCTAGAAGATTTTAATTAAGAGTGGAAGAATTAATTGCTGTATGAAAGCTATTAAAGTATAAATGCATTTAGTAAATTATTCAATGTGTCATGCTGTATTACTCTGTTGCCCAACTTGTGATTTGCTGGATATACAATTTCAGATAGCTTTGGCAGACCAGCTGTGTTTTGAGTAAATAAGATGTACACAATGACTGGGACCATAAGTATATGCACACAGGACTCGTGTGTCTATTCAACCTCAGCACAATCCCATATTGTCTTTCTACATTTGAATAAATCATGTGCATTTGTAGTGGCCAACACAATTGTTGTTACTCCATATTAATTTAAATAAAACAAAATTTTAAGTGTTCAGCATCATTCAATTAAAAAGTATTCTTGTATTATAAATTACTGTACCTGCACATGACAGCTGTAGTGTATAATTTTTTCCATAATGCATGTTTGGCCATCTTCCAGCAGCAATTCCATGTACTAAATTAAATATGAATAAAGTTTTTTACGCAAAACTGTACTGGTTTTCAAATTCAGTTTGTAGAAAGTTTTGTAAAGGTAGTGTTTTAGTTGGGACAGTTGGCTCATAAAGTTAAGACACTAGAATACAATTTTCTAGCAAGTCTGTAAGTTGGTGAGTGTTATGATGGCTACCATACCTTTTTGCAAGCTTCAAAATATGATGAATTTAAGCGTAAGTTGGTGAGTGTTATGATGGCTACCATACCTTTTTGCAAGCTTCAAAATATGATGAATTTAAGCTTGTGTTAAAGTCTGTATTAAGGATTGGGAAGTACAGTGGTGTCAAAACTAGTGGTGTCATTGGTAATTATTTTTATATTTTTGACTTGAGTTTCAAGTGTTTCCATAGTTTGCAAAAGTCACATTTTCTTTGAGAAGTATTCATACAAAGTGTTCTCCAAAATTTGATGAAATTGTTATATATATACTCATACAGATGCATGTACAATTGCATAATATGTATAAAACATTTGTAATAAATTAATTACAAAACTTTATTTACTTTAGTATTTATAGAAATGTCTTGATACTTATGTTCGTCCAGTACACATATTTGCTTATTTGTACTTGGTTACATATATTAAATTGTTCTATACATTGCTAGCTCTTCTTCCATGCCTTGCAGACTTGTTTTTTAACACGAGCATTTAACCTCTTCAGTGGACGGTATTTTAACGTGGTGAGGAACTCTTGGTATCTTCCCCTGCCTGCTGTCAGGCTGCACAAATGCCTCTCCATATGTTGGCATTGTATGAAAACTTGCACACTTTAGTGTTCCTTTATCTGGGAGTTGAGCCTACAAAGTGGTTGTGCCCTCCCGGGAGGGGGGGGGGGGGGAGGTATAATGTAAGGTTGTGTGTGGCCTATCTGAACTAATCTGCTCTGGTTAGCCCAACCTAGGACATCAGGTTAGGTGAGCGCTGTTGGGTTGGTTCCCCTATTGGTCCCTGGGGGTACCGTTCGGCCCTGCAATGGGGATGCATGTTTACTGTTCTGGTTACCTATGAAGTTGCTTTCCATTGTGCTTGTGCCTATGTGGGCCCCTTGATGGGTAGGGGTGCTGGACAGCAGTGTTACTTTTCTCACACTTCTGGGGTGGGTGACCTGACACCCCCCTCCCCAAGTCCGACTGATTGATGGACAGGTTCGTTAGACCCAGACCAGGCTTCGTCTTTTGACTTGCTTACTTTTGACTACCTATACTTTCTTCGTTCCTCAACTCCTTCTGTGGCTGGGTCAAGCCCCCGGTAGTGAATACTTAGTCCCCTGTTGTGGCTTAGTTACATTGCGACAACTGCATTGCCCCTTCTTTATGGATGGGTTAATAGCCGTCGCCGCTCTCGCACGCGTTTGTTTCCTGCAACCTGATATTGCAACCTTTCCAACCTGCAACCTTTCCTGATATGTTCCAGGATTTGTTTGGCCCCACTACGTGGCCTAAGTACTTTGATCTTTGTCACGAACATATTCACCCTGATGCTGTGCACATCAATAAGCACTTATTTGATTGTGGATTCCTAAGATACTTTTAACCTCGCCCGGATTGACACACGTAGATGTGGCCCCTTTCCATGGTGGCTGCTCCCCCTCCTCTCCTAGCTACTTTGTCCTGCATTGGCAATACCTCGGTTCGGGTGTCGAAAACTGCCCTATTGAATGGCAACATTGGTACTATTGTTCTTCACACCCAGTTGCAACTGGAAACAAATCTCGAAGACTTCTGATGACCAAATCACACCAGAAGATGAGACAACGTTTCGATCCGTCTTGGACCATTATCAAATAGATTGTGACGGGAGTGAGTTGTTTTAGATTCAGCTACTCTGAACATAATTTCCATGTAGTACAGGGGCTCCAGCCGTCGCCACGTCATCTTGAGACGATTTCTGGCCTTAGCGTCCCCGCGGTTCGGTCCTCGACCAGGCTTTCCTTTTTCCTCCCCCCCCGAGATGTATACAAGAGTTGTTACATTCTTGTACAGCCACTAGTACGCGTAGCGTACTAGTGGCAGGTCCCTGGAATACGATCCCCGCCGCGAAGAATTGTTTTAACAACCAAGTACACATTTTACTGTTGAGTTAAACAAGAGGCTACAGTTAAGGATTTGCGCCCAGTAAATCCTCTCCGGCCAGGATACGAACCTATGACTAAGCGCTCGCGGAACGCCAGGAGAGTCTTGCCACTATACTATTTGTTACACACCCTCAGGAAGCAGCCCGTAGCAGCTGTCTAACTCCCAGGTACCTATTTACTGCTAGATGAACAGGGGCATCAGGGTGAAAGAAACTGCCCATTTGTTTTCCGCCTCCACGGGGGATCGAACCCGGAACCTCAGGACTACGAATCCGAAGCGCTGTCTACTTAGCTGTCGGGCCCCTATAGAACCCTCTCAACCAATCACATTCACTCCAAACATGAACCATCTACGGGCTACTCATGCCCGTGCCACCTCTTGGATGGCTTAACCTTTATCAATGAAGCACCCTTCCTCTCCGATCAGCCACCTCGTGCTACGAAACGCACAATCCCTCCCGTCTCGTCTCGCAGGGACGTGCTCGTCGGCACACTTCTAGGCTCCTGTCACATGACCGCGCCCGTCATAGCCCTCGAGTACGAGAAGTGGTGTGTCACGCCGTTAGTCATTCTTGTACGTTACCCCCTCTACCAGTTGGCTCTATTCACTCATGTCAAATCATGTTTTATGTATGTATGTATGTACAATAGTAGTTACATTCTTGGACGGGGGAGACATCTCCCGTCACGCAGGGTGCAGTCGCACCTCCACAGATCTCCAGTATCAGCTATTGATACTGGTATTGGCTCCAAAGGACCATCACTTACGGGCTAATCATGCCCGTGCCACCTTTTGGGTGGCTTAATCTTCATCAATCAATCAATCATACATTCTTGTAAAGCCACTAGCACATAGCGTTTCGGGCAGGTCCTTAATCCTATTTTTTCCCCGGAATTGTTTAACAAGCAGGTACCCGTTCACTTCTGGGTGAACTGGGCGTAATAGAATGTTAACATTAAACTTCAGGTGCCCAATATTCACCTGGTAGTCGGGGACTATTCATGCTTCGGGCTAAATATGTCGACTTATTTCGACAAAGGTCCGAACGTCGGGCCTTTACGTTCACTCTGCTACTAGGGACTTGCCTTTATTACATAATTTTTAGATTCAGCTACTATTGTTCTTCTGCATCCTTACTGCTTATGAATTAAGCTTAAATGTTCTAGCTTGTCGTTACTCATCTTACTACTGGTTAACAGTCTCCGTGGTGTAGTGGTAAGACACTCGCCTGGCGTTCCGAGAGCGCTATGTCATGGGTTCGTATCCTGGCCGGGGAGGATTTACTGGGCGCAATTCCTTAACTGTAGTCTCTGTTTAACGCAACAGTAAAATGTGTACTTGGATGAAAAAACGATTCTTCGCGGCAGGGGATCGTATTCCAGTGACCTGCCCGAAACGCTACGCGTACAAGAATGTAACAACTCTTGTATATATCTCAAAAAAAAAAAAAAAAAAAAGTAACTAACTTTACAAATACATGTTTGCAGTTGCACGCTTGACTTTGCTCACCGCCTCAACCCAGCTGCACCAATGAGAAGATCAGTAGGGCGCAGAGGTACCATGTATGCGGGTTCAGTCCTCCTCGTGGCCCATACTTGTGGGGGAAAACCTGACTCCAATAACTAATAATTAAATATATACTTCGATAGCTACGAAGGACCACCACTTTTTGAGAAAAAGTGGAAAACAAAATAAAGCAATGGAAAAACTGATCCCTAGAACTAGTGTCCTATGGATCTTAGTGGAACTGTATTTCTGATATAAATGGAGTCAAATTAACTTACACAAAATTGGGGGGTTACATGCTAAAAGATTAATACATCCCTAACATTATTCTGGTGTTGGTTCTTCACAGAGTAAATAAAATATGAAAGTAAATAAGGTTGATTATATAATATTAATTGGAGGTAAATGCTCCTCAATATACTTCTGAAATGTTGAACAGTATCAGTAAATCAATGGGTTAGTATAATTGATCTCTTTTGGAAATCACTACTGTAACTACAGAGTTATTGCTACAGATAAAAAAGGGACAGCTTAGCTGTAAATCTAGTGAGGTGTAATCAGCTGCTACGCTCCACCGACGACGTGTTGCATAGGGTAAATTGTTGCAGGGAACGGTGGGAAGCCTAACACCTCGGTTGACACCGCCTTGGTACTGAAAGGCAATTACATTGTAGAAATCTTCTACATAATAAGTAACTACAAATACATCCTAAATTATGAGGATAATAGTAGAAATTATCAGCTAATATCTGAGCAATTTATATTCAAGCACTGTAAATTCTTTCTTTTGATTTTTATGAAAATAATCATCTATTTAGATGGTAAATTTACTTAAGACACGTACGGGATTTATTTATTTGTTCTACGGCCTAACGACAACTAGCCTAAATGTTAATTGTGGCCACATAATAACAAAAAGGTGAACCTAACTGCCGAGCCGCGTGTCCGTTGATGTGGAGACTTGAGCAATTCTTCGTCCTCCAGCTGCTGCTTGAAAGGTGTTGACTTTGGAATTGCTCATATGCTAGTCTGGGACACGGCTATAGTGCCAGATAACGTGGCACCGCTCTACTGGTCGTGGGAGAGAAATAAATGGGATCAAAACGTAGCTCTGCTACACGCTGTCAATGGCGTCCACGCCGTGCTCTCTCGTTCTCTCGTGTCTAGTGACGCTCTCCCGTCTTCCTCCTCTTCCTTATTGTGCATGCGCGGCTCTCGATAGACATCTCGAGCGTAAATGGATATGTATATATCGCAATTGACTAAGGAAGGAAGAGGTAATGACGAGTATTAATATCACATTAAATTCTTCTGTGATAAAATAGAATTTCTCGTAACATAAATTGACTTATTAAAGTTGTGCAGCTAATCGAGGAAATTAAAGCAAAATCATTTACATCAAAGTAATTTCCTCTAGAATGTTTGATATCAACTAAATAAGGGAGTTCCAGTAAGTAGTAGTATACTACGAAATTAAACTTATTAGTAAGTAACTATTTTTAGTAAAGGAAATGATAAACTGCCAGGGGCCGGATTCAGGAAGGTACTTACGAAGGTTTTTCTTCTTAGCTAAGAACGTTTTCCGTCTTAGCGCCTTCGTGGCGGCTACGTCCATATTCAAGTAGCTACACTAAGTGGAAAAACCTTCGTAAGTTCATTCCGGGATTTAAGTGTGGTTTCGACCACTCGTAGCTTTACGTAAACTGGATATAAGTCATTTTTTCTCTACTACATAACACTGAGATCGATTTATGATATTGGAACATGACCAAAATATTATAGCTGGTGAATCTAGTGAAGAGGAGTCCTTCGTGTTAGTTATATATGCATTCTCTGCTTGAAACTTGAAGTAAATATGTATTTG